CCCCCCAAACTTATCCAACACAGGGCCTTCAAACTCTTCATCTGACATTTTTCAAGATAGTTTTGAGTTAGATGGTGATGGATAGAGTTTCTCATCTAAAATAAAAGGTGTGCGATGTTTTTTCTCTCGAGCCTGTCAGCCCTGTCTACAAACTGGATGAGTACGACACAATGTCAAAGCCGTCCATCAAACGAAGGCCTTCGTGGGATCAAGGAAGTGCAAAAAAAAAAAAAAACCTTGCGGGAACTGAGGGGAAAAAAGGAGGAAAATGGGGCGTAGATGCCTTTTGTCTGAACCTGTTTTAAGAAGCTACAAAGCCCAATCGATTTCAATGCGCCATTAGCCGCGCTCAGAATTATGATAGTGTTCACATATACTGGCTAAACCAGAGGTCATGACCTTAGTCATAAGACACATTTTTAACAATCTAAGTTATCGTTTTTTTTAAAAAATACTTTTAAAAATAAAATAAAGAACACAATTGCAGCAAAAAAAATTAAAATATGCAACGTAAAAAAACAAATCTTAGAGAACCACACATGCCCGGATTATGTAAAGCATGTGTTATGCACTTTGAAAATGAGCAAGTATAAAAAAAGTGACCCCCCCCCCCACTGCAGTCCCCTGGTATCATCCCCCGACGCCAACGACCTCCTAAAGTAAACAGAACAAAAAAAGTGAAATTGAAGCCAGGGTCAACAGTGAGGTCATTTAAAAACTATTTAAAAAAACAACTTCTGGGCTAACCTGGCAATGTGAACAAAAATCTATCCGTTGACAGGGCAAAACAATAAAATGACAGGGCAAAACAATAAATTGACAGGGCAAAACAATCAATTGACAGGGCAAAACAATCAAATGGCAAGGCAAAACTCTACATCGCAGTATGCAACGAATTCAGTTGTATCTAAACAATGAAATTGTGTACGACTCTGAGCCACGACTCCACAGCCCTGTATGACATTTAAAGTAGAGAGAGAAAGGAAACAAAATGTGCGTCCTCCGTTTCAAGCATGGGACCGATAGCAGGCTATCAGCTTCATGGCCTCCACCAGGAGGTGCCCTCAGACATTTTCCCACGGCTACCCCCCCCCTCTCTCTCTCTCTCTCTCTCTCGTCGACACGAACTTCAGCTTAGCGAAGGGCCAATGGAGACTACATTTCACTCACTACATGGAGAATTCAGATATCACTAAATTGACATTTGCAATTATGGAGATACTTGTTTCCATTAAAAGAGGAGGGAGAGAGAGAGAGAGAGAGAGAGAGAGAGAGAGAGAGAGAAAGAGATTCAATGTTAAATTTATGGACCATTCTCTAGCTGGCCAATTTGTTCTATTTTTAAGTGGATTGACTTTGCCTAGATCTGACTTAATTTTAAGAGCCATTCGCGGCAAGATATGATTTAGAAAAAAAAACACAACTTTTGTATGCTTTTCCGGTAATCACACGCAACCATTTGTACAGGGTGCATGAGGTTAGAGGCTAGCGGGCATATGGCCATCAGCAACTTTATCACGGTGCACATTTTAAAAAGTCGTTTACGCGTTAAATCCTTTTTGCCCCTAGTCAGTTACACCACCGCATACATAAATGCCCCGAACCGTTAAACAAAAAGCCATGACCTGCCCTTATATTTCAACACCCCCCCCCCCCCAAAAGCTGGCTATTCACCCACTTATCTTTAAGATAAGGTACTTTTTGCCCCTAGGCAG